GTAGGGTGGAGGCCATCACTCTTAGGTTGGAGGCCATCGCTAGTAGGTTGGAGTCCATCGCTGGTAGGTTGGAGGCAATTGCTGGTAGGTTGCGATTCTTTAGAACTTGTGGAGATCGCTCACGCGTCACTTGAGCGAATCACTGAGGCGTCATCGCTTCTTCGCCCTGCGCCATGGTGAGTCCCTGGCCTGCGCAGCGTCCGCGCGGGTCATGGCACCGGGGGACCCTGGTTGAATCGTCCACAGCCATCATGAATCATGAAACCCAATGTATGGCGGTCTTGGATGACTATAGGATAAACATGGATAAACACATCATAATATAGCACCACAGCTCCCAGGACTCTTGCACTTCTTTGATCGTTCACTACCGGCTGCTGGCCTGGCCACCCCGCCGTGAACGCATCGCGGCAGCCGAAGCCAACGTTTCAGGTCCGAAGCCAACGTGGCCAAGATCATTATTTCTGATCCAAAGGCAGCTTCAACTTGGAACCAGTTTCAAGACGGATTGTAGAGTTGTTTTCCAACTTTGCGGTATGGTTCAGCTGTTTGTATGTTCTTTAATTGATTCTATTTTGCTCCGCTCCAAACGCGCAATTGGTGGGTCTCGCCGCAGGTGGGCACGAAAGCATTCGGTCTGACGGCAGCAGGTGTTACACTCCATGTTTTGCTGGAGTCGCTATCCGGTCTGAGATGTTTGAATGAGGCAACAATGTTTGCACCGAAATTTGTTTCGAGCGCACCAACTTGTTTGAGGAATGTTCGCGACCAGTAGAGCAGCAGTGTGAACCTAGATGTTTTGGTATCTAGAAGTTCGTTTGTGAAATGGCTGCAAACAGCACTTGCAACCCTGCACGGCATGCCAGTTGCAGGACGCAAAGGTGCTACCCGTGCCGGGCAGATGTTCAAGAAAACCGCTGCAAAGCGTGTCGTGGCTGAGTGAGTTCGAGATCAGACGTGAGTTCAATAAGCTAGTTCATGGATACTAGTAGGTTCTTGTTCCTAGTAGCGATGGCCTCCAACCGACTTGCGATGGCCTCCACTTAATAGCGTCCATAAGTTCATGAAAAGCACATACTTTTTGGAGCACTTTTGCAGCAGAGTTATGCATTTTGGTGCTAAATGTCTTCTCATCTTTCCCCCATCCCAAGGTGTGGTGATGGTGCCAGGGGCCTCAGACTTCGACGTACCCTGACCGGATCGGTTTCTGGGTGCCACATCGTTGGCGCTGGGCGCTCCAAGCGGTGTGCACCCACCTCACCGGAAACCGTGTGGACCTGTGGACTCAGGAGCAGTGACTTTTCACGGGCGAAGCAGACGGCGCAGCTCTTCGCCCAAGCGTTGCGCAAGGTGCACGTTGCAGTTCCTGTTTTCCGCCTGAGCCTGTCGGAGACTTTCACCATGCAGTGCGATATCAGCATGGCGCTCATGGTTCAGATCGCTACTAGGAGCAAGGACGCTACTAGGGTCGCTCCTGGCCTTACTACTAGGAACAAGAAGCTACTAGTAACAAAGGGCATCGCTACGAACGGAGCGGTCAGACGCTGATCTAAGAGTTCTTTGATCGATTAGGGGTACAAAAGCCCACCCCTGAACCCCAGCCACATGCCGAGCCCACGCGCACGCGCATGCGGCGCCAGGCCGGGCGAATTTGCCCCTTACGGATCGCCAAGGAGTTGCGAGAAAGGCTCGGGTCGTTCCCTTCACCAGTTTCACTCACCTTTTCAGTGGCAACCTGCCAGTGAGAACATTTGGGAGATCTTGTGGTTTCCACAGGAGGGGCGACGGCGACACACGTCGGTACATGGTTTCTCCTTCTTTGAGCTCCAGACACTGTTTCAGGGGCATGACACGCAGAAAACCTCGATTGTGAACAGGTTGTTGAGCCAGTATGGCCTAAGCTAGCTACGCGTAGCTACGCCGCTTCAATAGTGCGAAGGCCAGCCCTTTGTCACCCCAATGGTCCAGCCCTTTGCCGCCCCAATGGTCTCAGAATGAGAAGGGTAAGGCCCAGATGCTGACCAGCCTGACACATCAATACCTCTTGGAATTGCCAAGAGAGGTTAAGTGACCTTATAGGATCTTATAGGACCCTACTAAGGTACCTATGGGATACTGTAGTCTCTAGGGTTCTGAAAATCCTTTGGTGGTGTTTCTGTTCAAATCACTTGGGAGAAGGTGCCTTTTGCGACCTGAGAGAGAGAGAGAGAGAGAGCGCGAGAGAGAGAGAGAGAGAGCGCCCTCACCGCCACAGCTGAGCGCAGCTGCGCAGGCGATTTGGCAGCTTGGAGGCGGACTCGGACGCTCGCTATCCGGAGGCAGCGGCAAGCGAACGCGACGCGGAAGCGACGCGTTTGGTCGCGTCCCCACACTCTCGGAACGGAGCGCGGTTCAGGGAGCTCGGAACTGGCGCTCGGATGTCTCTTTGTAACTAACATGTCATGTGCTTGGATGTTTTGGGAACCCTGCTCTCTGAAGATGAAGGGACCTGACACGACCCAGCTGTGGTATCCTTTTTGAGCCCTTTCCACCGGCACCTGCCCCGCCACGCCTGTGACACCGCCAGGTTTGGGCCCAAGACCGGCACGACCCGGCGGCTCGACCCTTTGGAGTGGAAGCTGCTCAGGCAGGACCGCTGAACGCGGCGCCGAGGGACCGTGCGTGCGACCGGGCGAACCGGGATCTTCCAGTTCGCCCGGGACTGCAGAAGGTCTGCCTTTGCTGGAACGAAGGGCAGAAATGCCGTAGAAATGCCAGGGATGCGCACACTCTCCGAAAGAGTCCAATGAAGAATACCCAAATGGTGGGACCCTACCTGGCCAAACCCTGCCCGGCTAAGAAGGTGATTCACTGGCCCACTGATTTCCAGCCAGGCCGTGCAACGACGCACCTCCAGGTTGGTGGCCAAGTGCTTCGCTCAGGTGGACCTGACAGCCGCAGAAAAACGACGTGAGAGAAGAAATGAAAGAGACTTGATACTCGTAACAAGAGAAACCTACTAGAAGCAATGGCCTCCAACTGAGTAGCAATGGCCTCCAACTGAGTAGCGATGGCCTCCAGCCTAATAGCAATGGCCTCCAACCTAATAGCAACGGCCTCCAACCTAGAAGTAATGGCCTCCAACCTAGAAGCAAAGCACAAAAAAATAACACCTTGAGTTGACTGGTTACAGAGAATCAGGGTTCGCTTTGAGTTTGACTTCGCTGATGGCGGATTTGCGAGCGAAAGACGACAACGCTTCACTTCGTTAGAAGCTGGGGACCGGGATTTGTTGGTTTTTGCTCATCTGCAGGCTAGACCGGGAACTTCCTGATGGCGCCGATGTGGCTCATGGTCTTAACTGGAGATGTCATGTGAGGGTGGTGCATGGTCGATAGTTGCTCGTTATGTCGGAAGAACATGATGAGTTTTTGTTCCTAGTAGCTTCTTGTTACTACTAGTAAGGCACTTGTTACTAGAAGCGATGCACTTGTTCCGTTCGTAGCTTCTTGTGTCCATGTGTTCACCATGTGTTCGTTTCTTAAAAAAAATCCTAGGAACAAGTGCCTTACTAGTAGTAACAAGAAGCTACTAGGAACGAGTTTCGTCGTCGCACCAGGTCTTAGTCTCACACGGTGATGCCCTGCAGATCCTGCAGACCGCATTCTTGGCAGAAAGCCAAGCCCCAGACGTCGATGTCTCACGGTTTTGGATGTGAACTGGCAATTCAGAGTATCGCTATAATCAGCTCATGTGCACACTTGATCACGTTTTCTCAATGTTGGTGTCTTAAAACGGATCACTGAAGCACTTCTTATCACCATGACCGACCCTGCGACCTCGGGCAGAACTTGAACGCCTCGAAGCACCGCACCTTGCCTCACTTGGATCGAGCAGAGCTGCGCGAACTGAAGAAGAGGCCAGGTGGGATGAAGAGTTGAAGGTCCTCATGACATGTTTGACTTCGCGGTTTCGCCAGATGGATTCTGGGCAGATTCGGATGGTCAGAATGAGGACCAGGGAATGTTTGGGGTGCTTCCCAGGATTGGGTGCTTTCATGTGCTTTCTGATTTTCAATGGTAAGGTATCCATATCGTGTTCGGTATTCATTTCAGTGTCACTATGCTGGGGCCAAGTGCCATGGTCACATGTGAATTGATGGGGGAGCAGCGCATTTCGTCCACTCATAGTCGATAGCAGAAGTCCGCCGAGGATACAAACTCTCGGATGTCGCATCTACTCCAGGAGTAGTTGCATTTCTTTTCTGCAGCCGACCTTTTACGCAGTTTGAAACCATTTCTGCTGCTTCAGGTGAAGTTGAACGACATCCATTTTCCAGGCAGGTGGCGAGACAGTATCGCATGGCGTGCTTCCTAGGAGTTCCTTTCTTCAGTGTTGATTGGCCAAAGGCCAAAGGCTTGAAGAATACTGGTAGGACGAGCATCAATTCAACAAAGCATGTTGAAAGACACGTTTTGTATGCCCTAGCCTTCCAAGACTTAAAAAATCTTTAAAATTTGGTTGACCTGGTCTTCAAAACTATTTAGTAATGTCAAGATAGGATTAATAAATCCCCCCTAGTTAGTCCGAGCCCACAAAGCCGCCGGAAATTGCCCAAATTAAAAGTATTATTGCCTGTTGATTTCCCCCCCTATGGTCTAGTTTTCTACCAACAATCCCCCCCCTGTTAATCCGAGCCCACAACCAGGTCAATTTTTCGTATTACTACTACTGCTGCTGCTGCTGCTGCTACTGCTACTGCTACTGCTACTGCTACTGCTACTGCTCCTACTACTCCTACTGCTACTGCTCCTGCTGCTGCTGCTGCTGCTACTGCTACTGCCTACTACCTACTACCTACTACCTACTACGTGTTTGATGAAATCCTTAAAAATGTCTAGGGCTCAGGGCCTATAAATTGCATTATTAAAAAACAATTAAAAACAATCATTTGACAAGCTCACAAAGTGTACCCCCACAAGGGCCGGTCCCCCATCAATAATCTGCACTACTACCCCCTATTAATTTGATCCTGTGTCCCTGGCCTTTTCTTTGTGCTTGTTTAAACTTGTTGTGACTACTACTACCTACTACCTACTACTACCTACTACCTACTACCTACTA